TTTTAACGTGAAATAAAAGAAGGAGAAAAAAGAGAGAGAGAGAGAGAGAGAGAGAGAGAGAGAGAGAGAGAGAGAGAGAGAGAGAGAGAACCCTGGTTTGAAAAAAAGGGGGAGTATCCAAAGGTGAGGAAGGGAGAGGGAGCGGATAAAAAGAAGAGGAGAGGAAGGGAAGCGGATTGCTGCAGCTCATTCGAGTCAACATAACGCAGGAGTTTAATTCCTCCCCTCCCAGCCGCACCGTCCACAATGACAATCTAATTAGCGGTGCGCCAAAAAAAAAAAAAAAAAAAAAAAGAAAGAAAGAAAGAAAAATTACGCACAACTTTTTCTTCTTCTCCAGTCGTTTTGCCGGGTCGATCCTCGCCGGTAAATATTAAAAAGGAAAGAAAAGAAAACCGGTGGATCATCGCTCATCACTCGGACCTCGGATCTCCTGCGCACGCGACCAAGCACTGGTCTTTAGGGGAGGGGGGCGTCTGGATCTTGTGATGGGGGCAGTGGCTGAGGTCGGGAGCTTCGCCAACGGGTTTCTGGATAGCTTTGGAGCCGCTTCGGCTTCGGTCGGTTCGCATTTCGTTCTCACCCCAGCGGGGGCCGTGGACTACAACTCTGCAACGGGACTGATGCTGGGAGGACAGCCGCTGCTGCAGCAGCACCATCACCACCAGCAGCAGCACCACCAGCAGCAGCACCAGCAGCAGCACCACCAGCACCAGCAGCAGGAGAACCTGGTGTCCGCGGAGAGGCTATCCCGGAGCCTGGCGGACCTGAGCCATCTGAAAGGGATCCTGAGGCGGCGGCAGCTTTACTGCAGGACCGGCTTCCACCTGGAAATCCATCCGGACGGGACGGTGGAGGGTACCAGGAAAGACCACAGCAGATTCGGTAGGGATTGTAGTAGCAGCAGCAGCAGCAGCAGTAATAGTAGTAAAGGAGAGCGCAATAAATACACAAATAAAAACGAAAACATAAAAATCTGTGCAGTGCCATGATTATATTTAATAAACTGGGATCACTTTAAAAACAAATAAATTTATATTTAAACTAGTCGGGACATTTTAGGAATAGTGCAGAACTGCGTCATTTACATCACAGCACGCAACACTCCGACACTCAAGTCATGCAGGATCATTTGCTCATCATTAATCCCTCTGATGAAGGCTGATGCTGCTCTCACTCGAACATGTTCTAGCTATTTGTTCCCAGAGAGAAACCTTCCCTCTCGCTGGGACAAGAAAGATGCTGGGATTTGTCGGCGTTTTGCACATTTCTGCTGTGTCCCCCTGTTTGAGGTTCGGGTCAGCAGCTCCTCTTCATCACAGTGGACTTTTGCCGGGGATCGCTTAGTGCTTCCCGGGATGCGGAACTTCTTGTTCTCGAGTCAGGCACTTCCACCACTTGACGCAGTTTGATGCAAGCGCGTCTCAGGCTCAGTGGCAACTTTTGAGATGGGCGATATGGCTCACTGCCCAGGGCGCTATTCTACCGCGGGCGAATGATATCTATACATGCACGCACGCACGCACGCACGCACGCACACACATATATATATATATATATATATATATATATATATATATATATATATATATATATATATATATATATATATATATATATAAACATGGGTGGTTCTACACGGGGGACCAACAGGGGCCAATGCCCTGGTTATCCTGTCCAGTCACTTTCTTCTGATTTTCATTGGAACAGAAACAGCAACTGATTGGTTGCTGGGACCACGTTTTGAATTCACACTTTTACTTTTACAATGAATTAAAAAGTTAAAATGTTGCACTTGTAGCTTGAGCAAAATAGGGCCACAGTTGTCATCTGATTTATACAATATTAGTATATGTATATATCAGTATTACAATGAAACAATAAATTGTATTATTTCATTGTCTTTGTTTTGTGCCTCAATTTAAAAAACTAGGACACCCTCCCTGCCCCCCGTATTCAATCTGGTGTAGAATCACCAGTGTCCGAAAGCGTTGACCCATGTTGGTCAGAAAAACGTCTTTACACACTGACTGTTCTCATGCACACATGGTGCTTTAAAAATCATCACAAATTTGTTTTACTTGACTTACTTTACTTGAGAATCATATATTTCCATGTTTGACTTGAGTAACAGTTCAGGTGCTCTTTGGGGCCTGTTGGTGTGAGAGCACCAAGCAGCTTCTTAGTCTGCTGAAGGTTTGGGACAGATCTGTGTCAGAGGTCATTATAGTCTCATGTTTTTTTTGTTGTTTTTTACACATATGGACACTGTTCTTCCATGTTTTTGTATACCTAGATGTAAATTTACTCATTTTCTTTTGCCTTCGCAGGTATTCTGGAGTTCATCAGTCTTGCAGTTGGACTGGTCAGCATCAGAGGGGTGGACAGCGGCCTTTACCTCGCCATGAACAGCAAGGGGGAGCTGTATGGATCGGTAAGGATCAAACATTTAGTAAATATACACTCAGTGCTGATTTCTGCTGCACGATTCTCTTCATCTACACAGATCAATAATCTACTGTGGTTCTATTGCCAAAAAAAAAAAAAGAAACGTTGAAATGCTTTTCTGCTCGTGCATTTTTATAAATTGTATTAACCTCAAATTGTCTTTTTAGCAAATCTCTGTGTAGTGGATAGTAATTCAGTTAGATTTTTGACAAGTTCAAGCATTTTAAAATGTGAAAGTGGGTTTTTTTGTGCAACACAAACCTAACGTCCCTTATTTTTTCCCACAGGAAAAGCTGTCAGCAGAGTGCGTTTTCAGGGAGCAGTTTGAGGAAAACTGGTACAACACTTACTCCTCAAACATCTACCGGCACGGGGAGAAAGGGGCCTTCTATTTCGTTGGGCTGAACAAAGATGGGACATCGCGGGACGGAACGAGGTCGCGACGGCATCAGAGGTTCACGCACTTCCTACCGAGGCCCGTCGATCCAGAGAGAGTCCCAGACCTGTACAGAGACATACTGGGACAGAGCTGAGGGTTAAAAGCCATCTGTGCCCTAACGCAACCAAAACCGGTCGAAACAGGCCAACTGAGTGCGCCGAACATCATCCCTTTCCTTTTTTCTTTGGAGACGGAGGATCTTGTGGATCTGGACGGAACAGAGTCGCGAAGAAAGCACCGAGTCTAGTCCACGCTGTTGGGTTGGAGAGGGAAGGAAAAAAGTCTGGGATATGAGAAGAAAAACGCAAGAGAACTCTAACAAAGGGACACAGAGGAGGTTCCTCAAATGTTCCTCAGTGGCCTACGGAAAGACCCGGGTGGCCAAGAGGTTATTCTTTTTTTGGATTTTTATTAGTTTTCATTTGATAAAAATCCAAATACATGCTCAAATGGACTGGATCTGATAGTTGTGTGATTAACCACCAGCTGCTGGTAGCCTTTCTGTCTGCTGGGACTTTACTGCTCCACTACTGTCAGTAGATGTTTTAGTTGTTTTTTTTTCTGTCTAACATTTTCGAGGCTGCTATGGCTTGTTTGTATTACAAAAAAAAAAAACCCACACACACAATAGTTTAATGCACTGGAAAGCAGCCATGCTTGTTCTGGAAATCAGCTGCTGCTCAGAAACTACCACTGCTCTGCAAAGTTCGAGAGGATGACGAAACGAGAGACGGGTCTTTTTGGTTGAAACACAAGGGACTCGTTCAGTGAAGGAATTTAGCTGTTGTACACCCGACTGTCTGCAGTCACGACAGCGAGCGTCTGCCATCAAAAAGGCAAACATTTTGATGGATTTTATTATTTATATGCTTGTTTGTTTCCCCCCCTTAGGGCACACATTATTATATTTATTTCATATATTTATTTATTTCAAGAATATATTTTTACAGGTATGAGATGAAATAAAACAAAAATACCCTGAAAAACGGATGAGATTTTTTTGTTGCATTTATTACATTTACCTATTACATTTTTTTTATTAAGTTTTTATGCTTTTTGCTTAAATACTGCTAAACTGATTTACAACTCTAATATGTATGTAAAAATCTGCATTTGGGATCGTTATATTACTGGAAGGTACAAATGAATCAAAGTTTCAACAGACCAGCCTGAGCTATTCCACTCAGAAGAAAACAAGAACTGGTTAGGATTTTCAGAAGCAGCACATGAACCACCAAAACCAATCAAATAAACTGGAAGATACTGGAACACCACCGTCCCAAATAAGAACTGACCTTTTACAAAATCTTCCCAGCTTGTCTGTCTGTAGAATCGACTCATGGTCAAAGACAGACATATTTGGTCAAAATAACTACAAGGAAGCTTGGAGAAGTCAGGGCGAGGCTTTCAAACCTAATCATGAAGCACAGTGGTGATATGATCATGCTATGGGGCTGCTTTACTGTCAGTGGTGTTGTTGCATTACACAAACAAACAAACAAAAAAATCCATGAAAATTAAGGACTTCCTCCAAATTCTTCAACTTCACCTCAAACGAAAAGCTGGTTAGGTGAGTGTTTTAACAGAACGATTCTTTAAGCACACATCAAAGCTGGTTCTGATATCCCCGACCCAAATGGCATTGAAAAATGGTTGACAGACTTGAATGAGGACGAAGACTATGTGTGACCAAGGAAACCAGTAAGTTTAAATCATTCAACCAGAAGATACAAAAAGTGTATCGTTTCTGTATACACAAGATTCAGTCAGGGTGGATTTATACGTTATGTACGCACATCTCTTGAGAAGTCTAAAGTTTGTGCATCTAAAATTAAGATCTTTAAATTCATAGAAAAAAAGTAAATTAGCATTTAAATATGCAAATCACGTCTTAAATTTTGTCATAGCAAGGCTTTTCAATCTTTCTCGCGTGACTTTCCTGTCACCCAAAGATTTGAGTCGCATGCAGATGTCTTCACTGCGTCCTGTGGCTTGTGGTGGTTGAGGCTACCACTACCTAGCTGCTAATATACCTTTTGTTAGCTACACAGCTAAGTCTTTTAGGTCTCTTATGGGTATGTGGAAATGTATTGGCAATTGACAACATGTGCGATTTTCTTCCGTAAATTTCTGTCATCGTAAAGAGTCTTTAATCTGTGTTGGTGAAACTTGCAGAAGATGTATGTATCCTTCCAGCCATCTAAGAGAGAAGGAAAATCCTCAACAATTTCAAATTTGTGCATCCAGGTCTTAATTTTGAAAATTATGGAAGCTGCACGTTTTATCATCAGTTAAGGAAGAGTTCGATTTTGTCATCAGAAGCTGAAAATGTACATAAAAGTTGTTTCAATGATGAGTAAACTTCCAAGGAAAACAGTAATTTCTTCAATTTCTTCAATGCTGTCTAAAAGTCTTCTTCTAATGCAACACTTGTATTATATAAACAAAATCATTATGTCACTTTGCTATTTTAATTATTTCCGTAACCTTACCAAAGTGCCATTTTAACACATTTTCCATGTAACTATGTTTAGGATCACCACAGTCTTTAAAAGCTAGAAATGACAGAAAGATAGGTAATAAATAACACTAAATCATTTGTGAGAGGAGCCACGCTCCCTCTGACAGACACTGCAATTAGCAGCGGGACCAGAGATCTGCTGCTCTCTTTCATCCTTCCTTAGTCATCCACCTCCATCTCTTTTTAACTTCTTGTGTGACTCACCTCTTGGTCTGGATAACGGTGAGCAATACAGAAGGCTTTAAGAGAATAATAAACCTGAACCGTGTGGTGAAACATCAAGCCAGTACAGGTGAGAAAGTGCGCTGATGTCACGATGTGGCAGCCTCTCGAGACCAATATCCTTCATCAGAAGCCACAGTAACCCAAATAAAATAAGCGTGACTTACTTTGAGATGATTGCATCCGAAACCTGGAACTGTAATCATCTTGGTTTTGTTCATTCTTGATTTGGGCAGCAGAAACGGTTTAATTGAACCTCCCAGCAATGATCCAGTTCCTCATGACTTTAACATTTGAATCACTTAAGTCTGCGTGTCCTCCACATGCAGACCTTAGAGAAACACATTTCCTTCTGAAACAAATTAAAAGCAGAACAAGGAGCAGATTGTGAGTATGAAACGTCATATTTATATCTCAGAGAAACAAACAGTCATGGATAAATTATGAGACATTCCTATAAACTCTGATCAGCTTTAAAAAGCAATAAATTAAAGGTAAGCAAGACGTATTACGAATTGTGCCAACGGTGATTTTGTTGATCGTACACATTTGCAGGTAGAGATTATGACTGGGCAGTAAAAGACAAATGAGCTTTAAGGCTTTCTGCACACATTTAATAAAGCTACCAACACATGTAACTTCAAGACGGCGTAACTCTGACGCTATTCTATTTTTCTTTTTTTGTTTACATTTTGTCAATCAGGAAGTTGCATTCAGAGGTTTTCGTGCCATTTCTTTCAGTGGGTCTTGCGCCCCCACAGGTGAGGAAGTAAACAGGTTTTTCACAGGGTTTGGATTGTTTGCAGTGCGAAAGCAAACCACACCAGCTAAAAATGTAAAAAAAAAAAAATTCCCACTTTGGTCCCCAATCCAACCGCGTCTACCAGACTATCGGGCGTGAAAACACCCTTAAATGGAGGTGAGACTGAAGTGAACGACATTGTCTAAGACAAGTCAGGAAGATGTTTAATAAAACTCTGCAGTGTGATTGTGTATGATTACTATTCCACGTCACTCAATCGAAATGATTGCTCTGTGTTAAAACATATTATCGGAGCAGCCCTTTCTTGTGACACCTGTGCTCTCAGATAGGAGAAAACAAAGCCTCATCAGCCTCCAACATCTGGCTCGTGTTGCCCAGATGCTGCGGAAACAACATCCCTGTGAGGTTCGCCTGCACAGCTGCATTTTACATCAAGGAGACTTCGTCATTTGCAGGTCAGAGCCAGCATACAGGCTCATCAGCTCGGCAACATGTTGCAGATAAGATTACAGAGCGCTGCAGCAGCAGGAGGAGGACGGAGATGGCTACATTGTGTCTAGTTAGGGCTTGGTTCAGTCGGTGTGTGTGTGTATACCACTCTGATAGGGGCGGACAGTGCAGGATAAGAGGGATGTGCAGACAAGCAGTGCTTGAGTACCAGCATGTGGCGCGTGTGTCGGACACTGATCTTAAAGCTGGGCTTACGCGGGGGGAAAAGAGAAAGGTATGAGTTGAAAGTTTTGCAAGGAACAGGTGGGTTTCCAAAACTAAGAAAAATATTAAAAAAGTTAATGTGGGCTATTGGTGTTTGGCAGCCCGGCAGGTTACAACCTTTTTTTGAAGTGAGGGAGTGTGTGTATGTGTGCGCATAAGTGCATTTGCACGGAGGTGGAGGCATGTTTATGTGAGTCAAAGTGACTGCATAAATTCATGTCAGCACAACTTATGTGTGTGTGTGCGTGTGTGTGATCTATAAATCTGTGTGAAGGTGAGCCAGGGGTTCTCCTGACTAGAGGGCTGTCTGACTGATGTGTGAAGGCCCGACTGTGTGTGTGTGGGTGTGTGTGTAGTGCCGAACGTCCGCCCCCGCTCCACTCTCTCTCTCATCTGTGGGGTTTTCCACTGACTGGTTAGATCTCCACTGTGTGATCCTGCAGGTAATGTTCCACAGCATAAAAAACAAGAAAACTACGCAAAAGTTCTGAAAATTCCTTAGACGTTGGAAATGCTTCATCAAAAAAACCCTTCTATTTCCTCCCATTAGGTGTGACAACGCTGTTAAAAAGTATTTGCACCCTCACAGATTTTAGAAAAAAATAACATGAGTAAATACAAAATTCAGTTAAAAAGTTATTATTTATTAGGGGGGGAAGCTAACCAGACCCCATGTGGGAAAATAATTGTTCTCTGAGTCTATTAGATTTGGGGTCTGCTGCCTTTTGTAAATGAAACTGGACCGGCAAAGTTTTGAAAACCGCACTAGAACGCCCCCTGGTGGATATTTTGTTATGTTGTTTTGTGACGCTAAAAAAAATCAAATAGATCCAAGATGGTGGAACGCAACACCGAACAGTTCGTGGAATTCAGCTGATTATTATCTTTACATGTTGCGTTTCAGACGAGATTTGTTCTAACTATTGTTTAATTGTGAAAATAATAATTGTCTCTGTTTTATGTAACGGTGGTATAAATAATTTGTATGCTGAAATCATTTAGAAATATGTTTTTTTTATTTTTAGCTCGCAGCAAGAATGGCTAATTTGCAATGTTCGTTAGCTAATACCAAGCCTTGTATGGCCAAAATGAGGGCAGTGCTCAGAGGCCACTCTTCAATAAACAAGTAAAAAAAGAAAGAAGCTTGGCTATTGGAGCGTCGTTGTCTGGCTGTCTAGCTGCTGAAAAATCAAAAACTCAGGATGAGGACAGCACAGGGGGTATTAGGCAAGATCAACTTTTTTGAGCTTTATATCATGTTATAATGTTATTCCCTCATCAAAACATACCTGGAGCATTTCTTTGATTCTTTTCATGCAAGTTAGAGAAATACTAAAAAAAGAGAGAAATTCTCCATGGCAACCACTTGGCGGTGCTTAAACAAATTGCTCTCACAAAGCTCCTCTT